AACTATTTTCTATCTTTATTACACAAAACAGACCCTTATGCAGGTGCAGACGAACCCTACATGCATCCTGTGTGGTTAGAAGGTTCCTGTGGCTCATGTGAAACAGTATTTTAGTGATAAATGACATATGCAAAGTCACTTTTCTTCACTGCATGCTGTACGCTTGGCACTGTGATTCATGGCACTGTAGCCTGTCGTCTTTTTTTGTTGTTGTTCAGTTCTGTAGTACTTTTTGCTAAAAGGGTGAGATGACAGCTTGTTGATCCTGAAAGAGTAATGTTAACGGGGCTGTAAATTTCTTTGGTTGCTCATAAGCTCCATAAATCATACACTTGCTTTGAAGGAATCTGCAGTGTTTGCCAACACCGATAAGAACTGTTGCATAACAGGGGCGACCTGTGTGAATCTGAGACCGACTCCGCCCAGTTTCCAAAGTGTGCGCCCTGCTGATCAGGAAGTGTCAGCCTGGCCTTGCAAGGTATACTTTGTACCAGGAAGCGATGTTTAAAGTGATGATGTCAGTGTGATGTCACCGCTGTATTTTTAGTCGTGTATATAAACAGAGGTACCAGTGTGTGTTCACACTCCTGACTGTGAGAGTCACTTAAACTGAGAGCCGCAGTCACTTCCTGTTAACTCCTTTTGTCTGTGCACATATAAACACGCCATTCAGTGATATGAACTCATGAATCCATATCAAGAAAAGATCATTTAGCCTCTCTAATTTTTGTTTCAAACTTTCAGAATCACTTTTTAAATTTGTTTTAAATAATGAAATAATGACATAAGCAGTTAGTAATTCATAATCTGCAAATTGCTACTTTTTGATGTATAAAATATACCTAAAATATGTTTATAATAAAATATATAATAAATTATTAGCTAGAAGAAATAACTCTAGATGGGGGCATTTTAAATATAGGCACTATATTACATATTCATTATATTTTTACTTTTATCCTTAGATTTATACTTAGTTTATTTACTTCATTTTTAAATGTATGTTTGAATAAATCTGTCATGAAATTAAGTTTTTTTTTTTTTTTATTACAGCCACCATTTAAACGTTTATATTTTAACAATGAATTGGAGTAGAAACATGTTTATCATTAAAAAGTTGATATAACCTACCTTATGTTCAAATTAAATGTTTATATATGCAACTTCTTTTTGAGTGTTAATTATTAAATAAACAAGATTTAACTAATTGATTAAGCTTAAACTTTTTTCAGATAAATAAAAAATTGTATTTAGTTTTTTGGTACATTACTAGGTATTATGGCTTGAAATGTGTTTTTAGTAAAGAATTTTAATGATTATTAAATGTGATTTAAATAATTGATTATTAAATAAACCCTAGTTTTGGTTCTAGAAAATAATTTAATGAAATATTTTTATGACCAAACATAAGAAATAGGTATTGTTGTAGTCTAGTCTGACCATGATCTATTTCAAATATGAGAATGATATCTGTAAAAGGAAATACTTTTCAAAGACTCTTATCAGTTAAATGGTGTTGGCCCTCCCATGCTATGCTGTTGTGTTCCACTAGGGGGCAGTACATTACTGTGGTACTATAGGTCACACCTCCTCATGTCTCCATGCTTCACGTCGCATGGCTATTGTCTGGCCTGATCTTTGCATCATTCACCATTTCCACTATAGTTTCTGGTACAGCTTTTTTCACAACAATACTGATGAACGATGATTTATGTTTTTTACAACATGCAGCCTGAGGCTGGATTTCATAAATATATTTCTGAGGAAGCCACTTTGCTAGTGTAGTTCATCATATAGGTATGTTTCCCACTTAAGATGACACCCGGGAGCAGGAGCAATTGTTCTGAGGGCTTCTGCATCACACTAAGCTGTCATTTATCATCTGTCACTGTCATTAATATTCAGCTTTATCTTTAATTATTTATGCTAATGGTATTTACCATGGGGAATGTTAGCAGGCAACAATGGGTTACGGGATTAGAGAGCTCTCAGTGGATAGTGGCCACATGTGCCGCTTTTCTATCACTGAATGAAACGGCTAATATTTATTTTAAAAAATACATGCAGCTTGGCTATTTGGGAAATATTCTACTTGGCTACAGTCTTTAACAGACTGTAGCAAATGTAGAAGTGTCAAGTACATCCTAATTTAATAGCCAGTTGTGTGGCTGTGAAATGCGTAGGCGTTTACATGGTCTTCATGTGCTGAATGTAGAGGTTTAGCTGCATGTTGCACTCAGATGTCCTTTCCAGTCAGCTGAAAGGCAAAGCATTGTGGGCAGGCATGGCTAAAATGGAACAGATGAAAATGTTGTTTCTAGTCAACCAGACAGATGACGAATCACATCCAGAGTGGAGGGCAGGGAGCTGTTCACCCTCAGTCTGCGCTAGCTGCTTTCTGGTATTTTATAAAAGAAAACCGCTATGTCAAGACAGTTTAGATTAGTTTATTATTATTGTTATTTGTAATTCTAATTAACAATTCTGCAGCCTTTTGCTGTCGACAGTCATATTTTGGGCCCTGGTCATTCCTTTATTAGTATTGTTTGCAAAGGCAAGATATTGGTCATTCTCGCATAGCATTGCATTTAGGGATGTGAATAACCCTAACCTATTACACTTATTAAACCTCTAACTTATTAGACTTACATGCATGTAACACTTGTTTATTCTAGGCTCATGATTAATTATTCAAATAATGCTGTTTGTAAAGGAAACAGACTTACTATTTTCACTTCTTGGACAGTAAAATGGCCAAAAAATCACATAGAATTGAATTAAAAGAGGTTAGTGCCTCATATCAAGGGACCCAAATATCAAATGGGAAGTGGCCTTGTTTAACTTCTAGATGCCCCAAATATGATCATCCTATTGCGAGGAACTCCTATTCAAAAAAGAACAGCTATATAGTTTCATGTATAAACACCAAGTTTATACAGTTGAAAATTATTATATGTAGATTTTATTTGGAAAATAGTTTCTATGAAGTTACACTAATAATTTTTTTCCCAAATCCATGTAGTACTGTACTATTTAATTATTCATTTATTTAAATCAATTTTCAATTTTTGCAGTTAGCACACGTCTTTTCTTCTCTACCTGTTTTATATGACCCTACGGACCCAATGGGCATTTTTACTGTTTAGTGGTCGCGCCTTAATTTAGCAATTTCTAGTATTGCAACACACACACACACACACATCTAACACAGGGGTGCCCAACCCTGCTCCTGGTGATCGACTGTCCTGCAAAGTTTAGCTCCAACTCTAATCAAAGACACCTGCCTTTAATTTTTAAGTGATCCTGAAGACCCTAATTAGTTGCTTCGGGTGTGTTTGATTAGGGTGGGAGCTGAACTTTGCAGGACAGTCGATCGCCAGGAGCAGGGTTGGGCACCCCTGCTCTAACACATACAATATAGCCTCATACAACACAGAAAATCACTCATTCATATCAGTACATTCTACCAGCTGACGTGCTAGCAATGCTGCATTTCATATTTATATTTTCTGGTTGTTGTATGTGCGGTTATGTTTTGTACAATAATACTGGTTATCATGATAACTACAGGTAAAACTACACATGGCACTACCATTTTAAAAAGTAACAAATATATTTTCTATGCTATCTAAAATGGCACTATGGGATTTAGTTATATCAGTGTCAGTGTTGTAGAGAATGTCAGCACTGTTTCATCTGGCTTTAAACTAGTTAAAATCAGGGTGACATACTGACATTTGGTGTGCGTGTCGGAGACCTCTGTGCCAAACTAATGCTTTTTACTGGATCTTGCAGCAATGTTTAGTAGTCACGTGATCGAGCTCCCTCTTGTTCGCTGTCGTCGTTAACAGTTCTGTCTAATACAGGTAGAAGTCTGTCTAATAATCCGATAGAACGGTTAAACGAAGGAATTAAAATGTATACAAAAGTATTATAACGATTGCTTTTATATTATTAGTAATAGAAAGGCAAAAATTATAATACTTTCTCGTTTGCCGTCAGCATTCAGCAAATACGCATTTACATCATTTAAACAAATC